AATAATATGAACAGTAGATACTTGAATAAATGCTACAGTTCAAGGTCCTTGGAAAAGAAGAGACGAAACACAGAGCATTTGTTTGCAACTGGCCTGGCAGAAATGCAAATATTTCGGAGCTGTCTCAATGTGACTATCAGATCAGTAAAACAATGGAAGCCAAGAAATGGCAATTGTTCTACGAATCTTATGCTTGGAAAGGACAAGGCCCCAGCCAGAGGGGAGCTTGTCTCTGGGATGGAGAGTTCATGTTCTAACAAGCTGTCAGACTGGATGAGGCTGACGCTCAGATAACTACCAAATGAACAAGTAAGTTTAAAAGATGTAATAAAAATTTAGCAAATTGATGTGGGAAAAAACTGAAGATTTACCTTAGACCACATTGTCTAAGAAGACCCTGGAAAGAGGAGAAATTAATGCAGAATTATGAAGGATAAGGTAGCAAAACATCATAAGTAGAGAAAGTAACTGGGATAAAGAACCCATGTCACAAGCACAGACTGGAGTCTGCAGGCTGGAGTTTCTGGGTTCCTGTGCCTCTTAACAACAAAATGTACAGAGATACTTGTATAGTTATAGGAAAGAAGATTGTTTATTAAAAGAGAAATACAGAGGAGCTTAAAAGTGTGCCAGACCTGGCTTGAGTCCTGGTTGCAGGAGAGCAAAAGAGGGGGCGGGGCAGGGCTATGTGACGTTTTATGGGCCACTAGCATAGTACTTGTCTCTCCCAAGTTCTTATGACTTGGGCTATGTTTTTTTCTGAGCATGCTCCCATGATTGAATTAAGAGTTTCCAGTCTTTGCTCTAATGGCACTTTTCATGCTACCTCCTGGAATCAGTTCCTCCCGGTTCCCTCTTCTACCTTATTTGAAGGGCGGAGGGAGGACTTAGGCTAGACTATAATGCTTGAGGGGGAAACTGGTACAAAGTCTTTTGACATAATGCTTCTGATGACTAATAGACACCAAAGAGATCTGAAATAGCTTAAAGGAGTATGTACTTCTCCAACTTAACATGTAAGGATCTTATTAAAGAGAACGCTGTGATGCAGTACATATACATTTCGCAGAAAGAACCATGATGACTAGGATTCTGCAGCGCCTGGACTGCATGATGAGCAGCAAACTTGTAGGCAATTGTATATTGTGAGTCTTAAAGACATAGGAGAAAGCAAACGAGGATGCCAAAAATCAGGTTACGTGAAAAAGAGTGAGCCAGGGAGGTAGTAGGAACAGGAAGGAAGTGCGATGATATTGGGGGGTATTCCTCTCATTAATAAAATAATTTAGTAACTGTCACATGGCTGGGAAGGGCACATCAGTAAGGAAGCCTAGAAATGTTGATGGAGCACAAAGTGACAAGGAGAACATACTTTAAAAAAATATAAAGAAAAAACAGAAAGGTTATGTTTTTCTGAAGAATTTTCTGAAGAAAAGCAAGCAGATTTAAGAAGCTATGTGACTGTGACCGGGTATGCAATCATGCTAAGGGAGATGATTCTAGGCATAAAGTCTTCAGATGAACCTGCCTTCCTAGAGGGGGTCCTTTGACCAGAGGATTGACCAAGTACAGCTGGAATGTTAGGTCTCCACCTAGGCCAGAGTTTCCATTCCCATGACCAGTAGTTTCCTCTTAATGGGCAGTAACAATTTAATGAATGGAAAACAAAAAGTACTTGAAGCGAGTGGGAATGTGTCACTGGCTGTGTGGTTAAGTGTGGAGGGAGGTTAGCTATGAGGATTTAGATTTATTTCCTAATAGCTACATGAAACCTTCAAAAGGGCAAATTAACTTCTAATGCCGATCTGGTCATTTAATGACCTCTTCTCCACGTAAAGTTCTTAAAATACTATCATCCTTCATGATCCCTCACTGTAGAGCAATCACTAATGCCTGAAGACCTCACTTTTCACTGCCTTGAAACAAAATACAGAACAAGTAGGAGGAACAACTACTTGCATGTACTTGTCTGCGGTATTCAAGTTAAAAACCACCCCCATTTTCACCTTTCCTTCTGTCTCAGAGCACTTGGACACAGGCCGCTTGGAATTATTACCTCACCTCTCTCCTTTCTCACCACAGCATGGATTTCCATCAGACTTTCTTCCGTGATTATTCCCAGGTGCCTAGTGTTCTATTTGGTCTCTCCTCCTGGCCTAGTCCCATGAGAATGGTTTTGGAATGGCCGTGTATTGACACTATATTCAGTGAAACGTGAGGGAAAATTGGGAACCGGGTGAGAAGACGGTCTGCTGATAAGAAAGACATGGGAAAAGACAAAAGCCCTGCATCCACTGTGTAATGTATGGACTATGAGGCCTGCAAGTACTACAAACTCACCCTTCGGGAGCTGCATCTGATAGTGAACCAGCTCCTTAGGCAGGAAGAATGGGAAAATGGGATGAATCTATTTACTTGCAGAATATATGAAACTGCTAAGTTGAACAATGTTGGAAAAGCAACATTTCTGAATATTTGTCACATAAAATAATTTTTTAATTACTGCTTTGGTTTAATTTTTTATCTATAGTTTAAAATATCATACCTGATCACCTTATCACAGTATTGTCTTTCTGTCAGATATTCAACTGAGAAAATTCAATTGTCTCACCTACCTCTCTCCTCTCCCTTTTCTTCTGAACTCTGTCTTTCTCACACTCCTTCTGCCCCATTTCTGTACAGTGCTTCCCTTCCTCCTTCACTTATCACTGTGCCCTTCCTCTTTGTCCTGAAGCTATTCTTTTAACTTCCGGCCTACGTCATTCAAGTGCAAAACCCATATCTTCTGTTCACATAAACAAAATGATCATAGACATTTATTGGAAACCTTCCCATGTTGATTATTTATTTATTTTTTTGGTCTTTTTGAGACAGGGTCTCCCTGTAGCCCCAGCTGTCCTAGAACTCACTATGTAGACCAGGTTGGCCTTGAACTCACAGAGATCCACCTGCCTCTGCCTCCCGAGTGCTGGGATTAAAGGCGTGTGCCACCATGCCTGGCCATGTTGATTATTTTAATTCAGATTCAATCCTTGTTTTCCCTTATTTACAATTGTGATAGGACTTATATTTGTGAATTATTTACTCAATGTAAACAGTCCTTTGACTCATCTTGAGAGCCAATCATTTAGAAGATATAGTATGCAACTATATAAAGATTAAGAACCTTTTAAGTGTAACAAAGAAAGTTTTAAATAAATTTTATAGTTATCAGAATTTTAAAAATATAAACAGAACATTGAATTGTCCTAGAAAATTATAATCAGATTAAATGTTTGCCTTGTAAATTTCTTTTAAAAATATATTTTAATGGTTTTCAAAAATTATTTTATGTGTTTGATTGTATGGCCTGCATGTAAGTGCACCTCTGTCATGCAGTGCTCACAAAGGTAGAAGAGGGCATCAAATCCCCGGAACTGTAGTTATAGACAATTGTTAACTGCCATGTGGGTGCTGGGAACTGAACCCAGATCCTCTGCAACAGCAGTCAATGAGCCATCTCTCTAGCCCATACTTTCTAAATTTCATGAATGCAAAATTTATAAAGTTTCTGTTTTTCAGAAAGTTTAGCTGTTTCTGCTGGTTTGTTTGTGGGATTGAGAGATGAAAGCCAGGTTCTTGCATATCCTAGGTAAGTGCTCATTAGCTATGTCTCCAGCCAGAAACCGTGGAACATTCTTAAAATGCTTGTCTGTCATAGGTCAGCAATACATATATATGATAAAATGTAGTTCGATTTCCAGAACACAGACAAGTTATTTTCTTGACTTAAGCATAGATATGAGGAAAGATTGTTTTGATTTGTATATCAATAAAAGTTATATTTTTGCCATTTTTTTAAACTCTTCTACCAAGGCTAAACTTTGTATCGAAATACGTCCAGGCAGACTGTGTCTGTTTTGCCTGCAGTAATAGCAAGTTCTCTTGGTAGCTGAAGTATAGCATTGGGAGGATTCTTCCTACGGACTTCGACAGTTCAGATAGGGAAAGGAATACCAAAACATGTGCTTCCTTACGTCAAATGTGATTAGGTTGAATCACAGTACTCAACTGATAGACTGATGTGAGGTTTACATTTCCTTGGTCGTTGGAAGAATTTATGAGTTTAATTTCAAATAAACAATGCTTTGCCTCTCACTGTTTTTATGACCAGTTTGCATAAACAGTTGCTTTCCCAAATATCTCAAAATTAAGTACTCCAAATCTCCGAGAGAAAAATCAATCTCCTCAGAAAATGGAGGGATGTACTGTGTGAAACACACTTGGTTTGTGTGCCTACCATGCCCCAGGCAGGACACATGTTGAGGGAGATATGACTGAAGCAGATCCACCACCAGCTACAATTGTGCTGCGTCATCTCCATCCATATTCCCACCTGAACTCCAAACACAGAATAGCTTTCAGTCCTCACAAGCATGTTCTTACAGCACCAAATGTGAACCCAGTAGAAGCTGACAAGTTGGATTCTTGCATGGAAACCCATGTTTCCTTTTTTAACCTATTCTTATGGTATACCTTTAAAGCTAACTTGGTTCTAATCAATATTCCTCTTATTTTTTTGTTTCAATGGTTTTGTTATTTTTTAGAAAATCTGTGGTACTTTCATTTATTAATGTATGTTAAAAAGATGGCTATCCACTATCATTGGAGAATGTTATATCAATGACAGCATTAGTGTTTCAGATCCACAATAATACAACCCCCATATGATTTTCATACCTTTCAGAAATGTTCATTTCTTGACAGCCCCCTGCTCTTCCTCTTATATCAATTTTTGCTATCCTTGGAAATGTTTCTTAGCATGACAGGCAAAACTTCTGCCACTTCAATTTTAAAATAACCATCTAAAGTCAACAAAAGATAAACTGATCTATAATCAGAATACCATGAGTCAATGTAAGTAGAATTTTCATAAGCTAAAAAGTTATCAGTATTCTTAAAATCACAACAGAATTTCGTTGGACAATTCAGAGTGAATTATATATTATAGAAATAGGTTGTAGGACAGTATTAACTTATTATCATTACTGTAACTTAGACATCAGGACAAAAATTATGCCTTACAATTTCTCTATATTTGACTAATATCATGTTGGTTTTTGCTACAGATGATAAAAAGTATGGTACAGCAAACTGGTTGCATGTAACAAACACGGGAGGTCAAGATGTGTTTTCAGGATATGGCATACTGCCATTGACCACAACCACTTGGCGCATAATAAAGTCATTGCAATAGTTAACAGATGTTAGACATACATGAAATAAAGAAGCTCTATTACTAAAAATTATGTAGACTCAGATGAAAATTTGGCTCTTGGTCTGTAACTTAACTGACTTGGCAAATGGAAAAAAGTAGAATGCACAGTACGGACACACACTCTGTCTTGTGTTAGAGCTCAGGAACCACTGACAATATGTGCCCTGTGGTAAGCCAGCTTGATGAAGTAGTAACACAGCTCTTGATACTTAGGAAAATATGAAGTCAATTCTAATGTCTACTCAATTAAAAAGTTATTTCTATAACAGCAAATGAGTATGCTTTCCCACATTCAATAGGGGGCCTACAAGTGTTACTACTCATTCTCAGCTTACAGTTCTCCTAGTGACCGGTATCACTTTCCGTTCACTTCATAGTTGATCCAGTTATGACCTTATTCAAAGTAGTTTTTCTTTCCCTGCTCCTTTTTATTGATTCACATTTCTGAATGAGCTGGCATTAATAGTTTTGAGATGAATTAGGGCTGAAATGAATCTTCTCAAGCTTAAGTCATAAATCTGTTCAAGTTAAGCTTTGAAGGAGGCTTGTGCAACTTTGGAGTTTGTAGTTTTATTCAGAACTTTGCAAATAAAGTCACCAGCTTCCATCACTTTGTAGAGATTCACGCCCTGGTAAGGAAAAGAAAGGATGTAAGAAGGGATGGGAAATTAGAGTAGAAAAGGACAAACAAATTCTTCTTATTTTATTGGCAGTTGATTAACCATTTAAAATTATGAGATACTGTTTTGTTCATTATCAATTCAGGGGCTACATTTTCTTTCATGACCCATATACCAGTGTTTTGGATTTTCTACTTTATGAAATCATATTCAAAAACATAGACTAGACATATCTGAATCTGAATAACTCAAGACAGTCTCTAATGTCTAAGAAATGCAATCATAGATTTGAAAACAGTCCATAAAAGGTCAGTAAAGACACAATCAAGTGATAGTGGCTTGGAGAAGTTTACGTTAGGAACTAGATGAGAGAAAAATAATGCCTTTATCACATATAAAACAACAAGATGGGTAAATTCATATGGATTACAGAAAACATGAGAAGGCATTTGATTTGTTTTGTTTTGGTTTGGTTTGGTTTGTTTACCGTACGCAAAATTGGTATTGTGATATTATATTGAAGAGATAACCACAAGAAGATCAAATTAACTAATATTTAATACACATCTGAACCTTCTTTCCTTGAGAATTTGGAATGTCTAAAAGTATAAATGATATTAACCAAGGCTTAGGGAAATCCATAGAGAGAAGATCCACAATTGGTACGAAGACCAAGTTCAGGGCATGCTCCTCATCTGCAGACCTTGGAGTAACGACAGTGCTCTGTCCAGCTCTCTTTCTACGACTGAGGAGGCATGTCAATTGAAGGATCAACCACAGGTTTGTCTGCATGGAGTGTGTCATGAGTTCCTGTGTTCTCCTTCAACATGACCTAGAAACCATGAGAGCTAACAATGAAAAATAATCTTCTTTGCTATGAAATAGTTTTTAATGTTTATTGAACTCTGACTTTCTCCTAAAGTGGAGAAGTATTACTGTTTAAAAGCTTTAATAACAGTGGTTGTTTTTTTTAATTATTTATTATTTTAATTTTATGTGTACGAGTATACTACCTTCATGTCTGTAAGTGCACCCATGTCATGTAATGCTCAGAAGAAGGCGTCCGGATTCCCCTAGGACTGGAGTTACAGACAGTTGTTAGCTGCCATGTGGTTGCTGGGAATCAAACCCAGGTCCTCTATAAGAGCAGCCAGTGCTCTTAACCACTGAGCCATCTCTCTGGCCCCAGCAGTGATAGTTTTCAAAATTCTCTCTAGAAATGTGTTAGAGAACTGTTTTTGTACTTCCAATTTTAATAACAAAGAAAATATTTTGAAAAAATGATATTTTAAAATAATTTTATTCTTTCTTTTACATTATGAGTATGTTTTCAGAATAGGAGCATTCTCTTTGAACTGGGAATTTTTTTGTCATGGAGCATCTGAGTATACATTTCAGTTTAAAGCCCCAACCCAGTGATATTTAACTAGCTTCACATGTCTTCCATTTTATAATTAGATCGAGCCAGGGTTTGATGAAATATTTTAATCATTAATGCTCCTCTTTTTCTTTCTTTTTAAAAATATTTTATTATTATTTTTATTTTATGTGTATGAGTGAATTGCCTGCATGTAGGTAAGTGCACCCTTGTCCTACAATGCCCATGTACGTCAGAGGAGGTGGTCAGATCCCCTGGAACTGGAGTTATGGACAGTTGTTAGCTGTCATGTAGGTGCTCGGATTTGAACCCGGGTCTTCTGCAAGAACAACCAGTGTTTGTAACTGCTGAGCCATCTCTCCAGCTTCCTTTTTTTCTTTCCAAGAATTCCATTTATAACAATTATGTATGGAAGGTATGATATTATCTCAAATATACGAATTTTGTTTTACTTTCCTCTATAATTTTAATTAAATGATGTGATTATGAAAAACACTAATCTTAAATCATTTATCAAGTGTCTAGAAAGTAATATGGTAGGTTATGAAGTTTCATGTAGAATATATTGTTTTGTCTTCATGAAACTTATGTACATGTAGATAATTAAAATTTCATAAATATAGTTCTCTACTGGGGCTGGAGAGATGGCTCAGTGATTAAGAGTCCTGGCTACAAGAATGCCATGGCTCATATGGAAAGTGATGAGCAAACTTACCATGTCACACATTTATATGTTTTGTGATAGACAAGGTATACAAAGTCCAGTTTATATGCTACAGCAAGCCATGTTTTGGAGGAAATAAAAAGTCACTGGTAGGTGCTTAAGCAGAAGCATAGCAGGTTCATACTTGTGTTGCAGAGAAAATCTCTGGTAGTAAGAAGGATGAATTCAAAGGCGAGCCTGAAGCACAAGGAGTGTTGGACAAACACTCAGGAAAGAGATAAAGCCGTGATGTAGTCATAGCAAGGGAAATATGCAAGGACCGAAAAACTAAAATATTTCAGAAGTCAAATTAGTGGTTCCTGGGAATTAACTGGGGCTGTGGTCCATAGTGACTATGGAGCTCCTGTGGAGCTCCTCTGCATAATAATCCTCCTTGAACTGAGAAATAATTTTTTTCTTGTGTTTTTTTAATATTTTTTTTTATTTTTTAAGAAGAAGCATTTCATTACATCTTTAACATTCTCAATAACAGTTTCCAGAGCAAAGGCACATCTCATTCAAAAGTGGCTATAAAATTTTTAGGTTTGCTGTTGAACCTAATAACTACATACTTAGAAGAAGCATTTCATTACAACATTGACATATTCAATAACAATTTCCAGAGCTAAGATGCCTCTTTCAAAATTGGCTGTAAAATTTTAGATTTACAGTTGAATTAATACAGTTATACAATATTGGATTTAGTATAAACCTTATAAGACATAAAATTAAATGAGGTTTTAACCTTTAAAAAAGATCTCTATTTCATTACTAAAATATGCCGTTTAATACAGAAAACTTCATTTTTAATGCAATTAACACTAAGGTGCTTGCATGTGCACTTCCAATCTCTGCATATCTGATTATCACTAGTCACAGTCGGATACTTTCTGAGCTCCTTGGCATCTGAGCATGGATATAAAGTCATCAGGTAGATTTCAATGGTAAAGTTTTTCACATATAATAATTATTAATGAATAAATTTTTATGCTTTGAAGAATTATTATTTAAACTTTTTTTTAATTTTTAATAACTACATGGTTAGAAGCATTTCACTACAGCTTTAACATATTCAGTAACACACTCCAGAGGAAGAGTACATCTCTTTCACAAGTGGCTGCAAGTTTCT